GTGGCACCACTCTTCCCGTCTCCCGCCGCCGCCTCCTCCGCCGCCCCCGTCCTTCTCCGACAAGGTATTGGTCTAATTCCATGTTGCCGCGGCTGTCAGATTTCTCTCACCTCCACCTAAAGCTTATTGTGGTGTTTGTGTTGTGGTGTGGCATTGTAGGATCAGCTGTTCCGGGGGCTGGAGGCGGCGCTGGGCACCACGTTTAGCTCCGAACCGCTGGCGCCGCCGCCGGAGCCGATGATCCTCGTCATCAGTGGCCCGAGTGGCGTCGGCAAGGATGCAGTCATCAAGGTGATGCCGCGCAACCCCTACCCTTCTTGTAATGCGGCCTTGCTGTTTGTTTGGTTGCCTGTTTGAAATGTCGGGTTTGAACTGTTCACCAGAGGCTGCAAGAGGAGAGGGAAGAGATCCATTTTGTTGTTACGGCGACGAGCAGAGCAATTCGGCCAGGTGAAGTTGACGGGAAGGACTATCACTTTGTCACCAAGGAGGCGTTCCTCACCATGATTGAAAGGGAGGAGTTGCTTGAGTATGCGCTTGTTTATGGGGAATACAAGGGGATTCCCAAGCAGCAGGTGTGCTATCACTTCACCTTTTCTACATTATTATATCGAAACCAAGCTTGTTCAATATCTCTGTCAATCAATTTAGTGTACTAGAATTAGAAGGCTGCTCATATTCGTCTTACAGAAACCAGAATTATCCAGCATGTGTTGTTGGGTTGATGACCAAAGTATAATATGAGTTGTCTGCAAACCTATGTTTCGTTGATTGCCTGAAAATTATATAGATATAAGCTAATAACGTTTGCAAATATTCACAGCCATGTAAACGGCATCAACAATTATACTTTATGTTTATAGCTGTGACACAGCTTCAACCATAGTGTAGATTGTCGAACCTACTGATGCCAATTCTCAGCTGTAGGCACTTTTTTTCCTTGTGTTTCTTCTCCAGTTCCTTGTAGTAATGTGTGATAACTGCATATAATATATCATTTGGTTACCTGTCCTGTTTGTTTGTGATGGTAAAGTTTAAGTAATAGAAATGCTCTCTTGACCTATTTCTGATAACTGAATTTTATGACTTCTGAATAGACAAACAGTGGAATACTAGTTTTCCCATCAAAATGTCGCCAAACCCAACATCACAACACAAGCATTCTAATCTAAAGCGCACATGAAACTCAATTAGATCATATCAGTTTATGACTAGCAAAGTTCATAGAACCATCTGGCTTAAGTACTCATATTTATTACTTTGACACGCAGATCCGTGATTACATGGCCAAAGGACATGACATTGTCTTGAGAGTCGACATTCAAGGAGCAGCAACTTTGAGAGAGATACTTGGCGAATCTGCAATTTTCATCTTTCTAGTTGCAGAGAGCGAGGAGGCACTTGTCAAAAGGCTCATTCACCGTAAAACTGAAACTACAGACATGCTTCTTGTCAGAATTGCAACAGCCAGAGAGGAGGTGAGGCGGATGAAATATTTTGACTACGTTGTTGTCAATGCTGAAGGGAAGCTTGAGGATGCTGTTAAACAGGTTGAGTCTATCATTGATGCTGAGAAGGCAAAAGTCCAAAAGCGTAATGTCCAGATCTAGTTAAAGCTCATATGTCCATACCTGTCACTTTGATCAGTACAAGTTCAATCTAGTGCGATGAAATTAGGATTGACAAATTTGACTGACTTTGCTTGGAACAGTAGCCAGAAAGTTCAGCACAGTGCCAAGTCATGAGGGCTTTACATACTGAGATATCCTGGAGAGTTAACTTTCGCACAATGCTGAAGGGCAATGTACTCGATCTTTGCTGGGATGTATATTCAATTAACATTCTCGTTCAAACATTCCTGGCTAAAAATTGCCCTTTTTAATACTTTTCAGTTTGTATTTTCCTGTAAAACTGCACCAAACATCTACTCCCTCCGTCTCATAATGTAAGATCTTATTACATCCAATATACTTGCATATTGGATGTAATAAGATCTTATATTATGGGACTGAGGGGGTATTTGAGAAGCCTCTTAAAAAAATCATTTGTATGCAATGCTGGTACGCTTGATTTATAATAAGCTTTACTGATGAAACTAGCCTCTCTTTTTTCTTGTACATGGAAAGAGAACATATAAAAGTTTGGTCTCGTTGTTGAACTACAGGCTACGGACTCTTTGGTTCTAGGCCTTGTAATGCACATTTTGCCACACATTCTTTTTGCCAAACTTGGCCAAGTTTTGTTCAATAATATTGAAGTTACAAGTTGGCATGCCTAAAGGGATCTTGTACCACGTTTTGAAATGCACTCCCTCCGTTCCTAAATATAAGTCTTTGTAGAGATTTCATTATGAACCACATACGGATGTATATAGATGCATTTTGGAGCGGAGGGAGTATGTGATGTGAGGCCCTAGTATGGCAAAAAACATCTTGTCTAAGCGAACCAAACAACCGCTAAGCTTGTCAAGCTTGCCTTACCTTAGGTGCGGCAATCAAAGCCAAACTTATTAGTTACAAACTGAACAACCTCAAATTTTGGTTAGGGGGGAAGATAACACATGTTTAAACAACGACCTTCCTGCCCGAAAAAAAATGCAACCCATGATGCATATACTTTTGGCGTGTTTGGTTACTCGCATCACTTTCTCGCTTCCGGTGAGGAGTTCGGCCTGGCTAGGTGAATATACAGGTAAAAACCACGCTGTGCAGATTGTTTGATTACCTGCATCCTCCTGAGCAATGCTTGTTTGGTTACATGCATCCTCCTGAGCAATGCTGAGAAGAAACTTACACAAGATTGTTTGGTTACTAACATTTTCTCCTCAGATGCAACATGCTGCTGTTTGCTTGCGAATGCACAATGATTAATCTCACCTCTTATTCATGTGGTGAACTTACCTAGAGCAGAAATATGATGCTCAAGAAATAAGAGAAGGCCAGTTGCAGGTAGAAGAAGGTGTGGCAGCCCTCAGATGCTCATCCAACGGTCACGTAAGCATCAAACGGCCACCAAACCGCTGGGCATGAATCGTTTTTCAGCCCATTGACGCCCAAGTGTGACATGATGTACAGTCCGTAGGGAGACGTAAATCTATGAAGCTACTAGTCAAAGGAAATTTCAAACGGTCGACCGGGTGCGAAGATTTTGCCAAAATTCATCAGTTTTCATAACATGCCCACATGAACACGTTTGTATGGCATAGTAGGAGATGTAGATCTACTCGTCCATGATCGTTAATACATAAACATGCAACACGAAAATCGTGTGAAACAGTGAGATGAACCTAGTAGTCAAAGGAAATTTCAAACGGTTGACCGGGTGCCAAGATTCTGCCAAAATTCATTGGTTTTCATAACATGCCCACATGAACACGTTTGTATGGTATAACATGAGATGTAGATGCACTCATCCACGATCGCTGAAATATAAAACATGCAACACAAAAGTCATGTGAAACAGCAAGATGAAGTTAGTGGTCAAAGAAAAATTCAAACGGTCGACTGTGCAAGAAGATTTTGCCCAAATTTGTCTAAAAAATCTTCAAACATTAGCACAATATTCAAGATATACAATTCAAAAAATTAGGAGCATGTTGTCTGAATGAAATGACAACATTGATGTGCATCTTTTTCGTGTAGAGCTTATTTCAAACCAAAGCGCCGTTGTAGCTTAGAAGGTATCATGGAAAGGTGATTAGAGCATCTCCAACAGCCGCGCCAAACTAGCGCCGCGCCGCAAAATTCCCCGTTTTAGCGCGCGCGCAACCGGAATAGTTGCTCCAGCGGGCGCGCGAAAACAGCGCGCGGCATATGTAGTTCAGCGAGCGGGCTGAAACTCAATCACGTGCCGCTTATTTGCTGCGCCCGCTCCCGCGCGCTCGCTCGCACCTCCCACCCCCCATCCAGCCGCGCCGTCGCCGCCGACCGTTCCGCCGCTTCCCCGGTCTATCCCCGCCCCGCAGCGGCTTCTCCGCCCCCCCCTCTAGTCCCGCCGCCCCTCGCGCGTGCTGGTCCTCCGACGAACAGCGCCCGTGCGCTCGCTGCCGCTCGGCGCCCGCCAGGTGTTCGACAAAACGCCTAGAAGGTATGTATTGCTCAAAAGCCATGAATTTCGTGCATGTTGATTGTAGTTTTTTATGGCATAGTATTGAACAATTGTAGATGAGTTCGTCGTATAATTCTTCCGAAGAAGAATTTGATATGGAAGAGGAGGAGGATCTTGCAATGATACTAGCTATGCATATCAATAAAAAACCGAAGCACGGTGGTTCGGTTATGGGTCGGCAGAAAATTTGGAGGGATAGGATCGATGCCCACAACAGATTGATCAGGCATTATTTTGCGGATAATCCCACATACCCCGAGTCATATTTTTGTCGCCGGTTTAGGATGAGCACCGAGTTGTTCAGGCGCATTGCAGAGAAACTAGCGAGCCATGACCGCTTTTTTCAGCAAAGGAGGAATGCCGCCGGAGAGCTCGGGCATAGCACTTTTCAGAAGGTGACAGCCGCTTTGCGTATGTTGGCATACGGTATACCGGCTGATCTAGTTGATGATCACTTGGCTATGGGTCATCATGTGTGTCAAGCGCTTCGCAGTCGGAATTATGCAAGTGTTTGGCGAGGAGTATTTGAGATCTCCCAATGCTGAAAACGTCGCAAGGCTATTGGCGATGAACAAAACTCGCGGCTTTCCTGGCATGCTTGGATCAATAGATTGCATGCATTGGAGTTGGAAGAATTGTCCAAAGGCATGGCATGGACAATTCCACGGCAAAAAAAGGATTCCACTATAATCCTTGAAGCGGTGGCCGATCAAGAGACTTGGATTTGGCATGCATTCTTTAGAATACCTGGATCTTTGAATGACATCAATATTGTCAACCGGTCACCACTGATGAATAAGATTGCAAATGGCGAGTTGCCAGCGGTGCAGTTTGTAGCAAATGGCCGTACATAAAACTATGGCTATTATCTAGCGGATGGGATCTATCCAATGTGGCAAACCTTTGTTAAGCCGTTGAAAAAGCCAGAAGGTAAGAAAGAACTTGATTTCCACAATGCTCAGGCGGCGGCTAGAAAAGATGTGGAGAGAGTTTTTGGGATTTTGCAAGCCCAATTTGCTATTGTGAAAGGACCGGCTAGATTTTGGGATTAAAAAATGCTTTGGTACATCATGCACACTTGTGTGATCATGCATAACATGATTATCGAGAATGAGCGTGGCCAAGATATAGACTACTCCCGGTATGAGCTCTTGGGATATCCCGTGCGAGTGCGACGGAGGGCTGAAAGGGTAGCCCATTTTGTTGCCTCCTATCATGTCATTCGACGTCCTGCGGCGCATAATGATCTTCAGAAAGATCTCATTGAGGAGTTGTGGGCATGAAATGGACGACAAAGAGCATCATAATTTGTGCGTTCGATATTGTATTGTTGAACTATTTGTTATGTTTAATTGCACTATTTGTTGTATTGAACGATAAATTGTTTGTTTGAGTTGTAATAATGAAATTGAATTATTTATTTTGATTTTTTTTGTGTTTGATCTTTTTGCTTCTGTTTTTGAATGCATATGTTGTTTGTGCGAGAGTCGCGCATGCTGCATTTTTGCGCGCTGCTGGAGCGGCGCGCGCGCTGCATTTTTGCGTGCTGCTGGAGTGGCGCGCGCGCTGCATTTTAGCACGGCTGCCGGAGCCAGCGCTGCGCGCCGCGCCAAACCAGGCGATGAGCGCGCGGCAAAGCTGTTTTTTGCGCGCTGCACGTTTGGCGCCTGTTGGAGATGCTCTTAGGCCTTGTACAATGGAAGATGCTTAGAAAAATAAATCAGGTTTTTCTGAAGCACCGGTGCCTATTTCTACAGAAGAGACGCGTAGTTAAGCGTCTATTCTGTATAAATAAGCACCGGTGCTTAAGAAAAGTCTAATTTATTTCTCTAAGCACCTTCACTAAGCACCTCCCATTGTACAAGGCCTTAGGGAGGTGTTGCATAGCTCGGGCCTGGCTCACACTTGTTTCGAGCGTTTCCCTAGAGCCAAGCCCAGAGATGCTTTGAGCAACATGTGATGCAGGTTCAATAATGTTTGCTCACAATCAAACATGATGAGTTGCAGGCATTTTTGTTTTCCGCATAAAACAATTTTACTCTCTTGCGAAACTCCTGCAAAAGAGCACGAAACAGCGCCAAACCAACAGAAAAAGAAAAGTTACAGCTCACGTGAATCAGTATTCAATCTTCTATATGGCCCTTGAGCACACTGCCCTGATTTACACCTATTTGACTTTGGGGTCCTATTTGAGACGGATAAACCCAGAAAACTACGAACACTTGCAGGGTCCATATAGTTCCTGTGTTATTTTCCCTTTTTTTTGCAGGATGTGTTATTCCAATGTTGTGAGGTCCTGAATTAATCTACAGTAAGCGATATTTCATTATAGTGTTTTATCTGCTTTTATGTTTTCGAATTACCAGATGCAAATCAATGCACACATGTTCTTCAGAATGAAAAAAAGAAAAACATTCAGCGCACTTATCCGAAACAAAAATGTCCTTATGGGCCGGCTTTCCCGGCCGTAGAGCTACTTGTGTCGTCTATGGTTCCAGGCCCAGCAGCACCGTGCCCGGCTGGGCTATCTTTGGGCCACTGAAGAATTACAGTGCTACCCACTTTCCTCTCCATTTTTGCCTCAAAAAAGAAACAGTAAAAAAAGGACCGTGCGGCGTGCGTTGCGACTCCGCCGGCTTTCCCCATTCTTCCCAGGTCGCCGAGTCAACATCCGTCACCGGCGGCAGAACCACCCTGCGCACCTACCCCCGTTCCCCCAAGACCCAGCTACCCAGCTACCCAGGCTTTCCCTCGGCGAGCCCCCTGAGCCCTAAGCTCCAGCAAGCCCCCATGGCGGCGCAGGGGATCGCGGACGCCGTGCAGGCTTACACGGGCCTCTCGCCCGCGGCCGCCTTCACCGTGCTGGCTCTCATGCTCGCCACCTACCTCATCGTCTCCACCCTCTTCGTCGCCCCAGACGCAGCCCCTTCGGCACCGGCGGCTCATCCCAAGCCGCCTCAGCAGCAGGAGGAGGGGACGGAGGCGGAGGCGGAGGCGGAGCCGGAGCCGTTCGTGCCGCCGTTTCCGGACCCTGTGCAGGTGGGCGAGATCACGCTCGAGCAGCTCAGGGCCTATGACGGCAAGGATCCCGCCAAGTCCATCCTCATCGCCATCCGCGGTCAGGTCTACGACGTCTCGCGCGGGAGGTGAGGGTTATATTGTGTTCTAGTACCATTGTGCTATGTTTTGGTCAGGGTTCAGTGTGGACAGATACGCGCATGAGCTGAGTTTAACATTGTAAATCATTCCAACCTTGAGTAACTAGACTAGACTATTTAAGATTATCAGTTAGAAGCAGTTCTACTATAAACAAAGCACGTTAATATGGAGTTGTAAAGAGCTGATCTAAGTTAGGAACAGATAAAAGCAAGATACCTAATGTGTGCTAGTAACTGTAGGCAATTATCACACTGCTGACGTGGATAGTCCATTGAATTCTACTCCCTCCGTTCCAAAATACTTGTCGTGCTTTTAGTACAAATTTGTACTAAAACCACGACAAGTATTTTAGAACGGAGGGAGTATTTGATTGAGACATGAGGGCCTGGATCTTTTTAGATTGTTGATGTTATACTCCTAACATAGGAGTCTCTTGCTGCCTTTCAATCGGTGGAGTGCAAAATGGTGAACTTCACACATGTAATGAGAATTCGAGCAATCCAATATGGTTCTATGGATTTGCTTGTTCTCAATAGGTTTTGTTTTCACGGTGTTGCTAGACATTTGGTTATTCTTGAATGCTTAGACCAGGAATTTAAGATGTACCTTGTGCATCTAAGCACCTGAGTATTTGATCAACCGGACTATAGTCAATGGACATGATAGACAATATTCAGTAGTCTTCAGTGGCAGATAATTGAACTTTTTTGAGGTGGGGCGAACTCTTAAACCAAAAATAAAATAAAAGTTGTGCAAAACCAATATAGATATAGAATTGCTTTGCATTATATTTTTCGTAGCAAACTTTCCATCTGCACGCTCTTGTTTGAAACAATCCTTTATTTTGCTTTATAAGGCAATCAAATAAACCAAAATCTTTTAGGATTCGAATAGACGTGGCATTGCAATCCTATAGTTTACTTTCTTCTACTCCGGTGTTTCTTAAAAATCCTACGGATGAAAGAAGCCCTTAGCAATTTGATACTCAGCACACCGATCTTTAGGCATTTATTAACTAACGGTTCGGAGAAGATTCACGGGAACACAACACGGGAGCCACTCGAGAAAGTTTATCCTAAAAACGAAGAACATCAGCGAGAGCCTGATACGTGCTGAACTCGCTCATCAGTCACCACGCCTAGGTACAAAAACACCAAGGTTAGTGTGCACATGTCAATCGTGCGTGTGTGGTTTTTACTCTCGCTCAATCGAGGTTTCTGGAGCCTGGCGTTGTGTCGTGTGTGGCCTGCATGAACGAGTAGATCGAGCGAAGGCACCAGTCAGGTGTCTAGGATTCACGGCCCAGTAAAAAGTTTTACTGTGAAATTTAGCGACCAACTCGATATTTAGCGATCTGATGATTGTATACGTGTATACCTATTAACAAATTCCCAGAAATCAAGGTAGGGAGAGCGCCCCACCTCGCCCTACCGCGTCTTCCGCCCATGGTAGTCTGTACTCTCAGCACTCACTCACTTTTCTACATGGGTTATGGCGGCAGTCTCATGTCGATTTTAGCTACAACAACAGGTTAACTGACTTCAGCGACAGTATTCATGGTGTTTGTTCGTTAACACTGTAAATTTAATATCTCCAATAATCAAATAGAACTCTTAGAATGTAACTAAAATACAATGAATGTTTCTATGGTACTTGTCTGCCCGTCCTTATACTACCCTTAAATGCAGTAGGAAAAGAGAGAGAGGGTTCAAGTAGACAGTCAAATAAAAGAACATGTTGTGCTTAAAATTTTCTCTTTGAAGTTTGAACCACTTCTGGGAGCTTTGAAGCTGTACTCCATTTTCACGAAGTATCCATTGGTATAATGATTTGATGGGGTGAAGTTTCCATTTGCAATCTGGCCAGATGTTCATTCACAGTATGTTATTATTAGGAAAATAACTACAACAAGTGTTGAGAACTGTTGGTTGAAACGTTATCATATTTATTGTGGACTGTGTTTTAACTCTGCACCACTTCTTATACTACTATATTAGGCTCTGTGTATTTAATGTGATGTAGTTTATCTCTAGTTTCTTCATTTCTTATAGTGCCAATGTTGTGTTGTTTGTATCCACCTTATTTCTTCAGAAGCACATGATTGTTGTCTTACTGATCATAATTATCATGTGCCATCTCTCCTTGTTTTGCTCCACGTTTGTCTGTAAGATATTATAGTTGGTGAAATAATTTGGTACTGTAGTTTATTGTGGCATTGGTTGTCCCGATGTCTGCAATTAGCAGTACACTTGTACATGGCTAGTGTCGGTTACCCTTAAAGTCATTGTTTTGTTTAACTATTATTCATCTCGTGAGTCTGCTGTTTCAACAGACAGCAAGGATATTCTTATTCGTTGCTGAGACCGACTTGACTCTAGAGTTTGTAGTGCAGCTCTGTAGCTGGTATTCACTTTGCTCAAATACTGCCAAGAAATTAGGTATATAGGTCTGAATCCTTGGTGCAATCTTCTGCAAGGGGTGTCTTGTGGATCTGAGTTTCAGATATAAGCTCGGTACTTGTGAACTGTACTAGATGTTAATAGTAGGTTGAACATGCTGTCCACATATCTGCATTAGAAATCGAAACTGAGTTTGTTTATCTGTGATATAATGCACAAATAAGATATTTGTGTAGATGTATAATTCCATCTGATGAGTATCCCACAACTTGTTATGTCCTCGAGGTAGTTCTCGAAGCAGTAGGATGTTGCTTGTGTCATGGTGTGTGTACATACAGTGCAGACTGTTGATGATTCATGACTCTGTCGTCTGGTTTTTTTTTCTTGACGTCAGGCTGTTTTATGGACCTCAAGGACCATACTCCTTGTTTGCTGGGAGGGATGCATCTCGGGCCCTGGCATTGATGTCATTTGACCTTAATGACCTGACTGGAGACTTGGAAGGCCTGAGCCCAGACGAACTGGAGGTTTTACAAGACTGGGAAGAGAAGTTTAAAGAGAGGTACCCTGTGGTGGGTCATCTTCCTGGTGAAAACGGAACAGCTGGTGCCCAGCCTGATCACGAGGCAGAGAAGGCCTAACTCTGTGTCTGGGTTCTTGTCCCGTTGCCTGTAAGTTGTTGTGTCTTTTACTACTGCTGGACTGTGAGCGGTAGAGAGATGTAATGCGCTGACAGGTGATGTTGTTTGTATGTGTGCTGCATGAGTGTGTGTTACTGATGCACCTGCTTTACTACTGAGTACTTTGGTTGGTGTGCGTAGTGGATAAGGGGGAGGAATTTTGAGTAACAGAGAGACCTTGACGCTGAAAGGCCGCCCATCCTTTGATGTGTATGCCCTCCTTTGGGTTCCTGCCATAATCCAATTCATCATCGTATCGTATCCAAACGGCGATTTTGCTGGCCATAATTTTGCCTGCTCCGATTCTTCTAGCATTGTCGGGAAACAGCATCGGCATCATTTCTTCCAGCCATTATCAGATTCTTCGTCTGCTCTACACTAGCATTTGGAATCTCGATTGAGAGAGAGAGAAAGAAAAGAGTCCATGCCTTTCTTTTTCCATGTCGCAGCGCTCTGCACCCGCTGCCACTGTTGTCTGGTCCTTTTTCATGCGACGGGGCCCCAACGATACGATACGGGGTTATCGCCGCGGCGACGCAGTACTACGTGTCCGCTCTCGCAGCGGCAGCGGCAGCGGCAAATAATCGTGTTCGCCGAGGGAGGCCAGGCAGGCAGCAGGGCGGAGCAGAGCAGTGGCGCCCCCATTCACATGGGGTGTCTGTCGACTGGTGGCACGTAACAGGGGAGGGCAACGCAACGTTATCTATCTTTCGAGTTGGCGCGTCATGCATGCATGCATGTGATGTGAAGGCCCTCTCCTCTCCACCATAATCTCGCCGCTGTGCTGTGCCGGCCCTCCTCTGCCGTGCCTGCTCTGTTTCTTCCCTCTCCATCTCGAAACGCCGCTCCGGAGATTTACGCCCAACCGTTTCCTGTCCCGTCTTTCGCACGCCGACCTACCCGACCACCCGTGCTCCTAGATACTGTATTTTCTCGTCTCTCGCCTCGTCGCAGATTTGGATTTGGATTTGGATTTGGGTTTGGTGGCAGCGGAGCAGATCCAACAAGATCCAACCCAACGTGCAGGTACATGGGAGGAGGGACCTGCTCTGTTTTTCTTTCTCGCCGTTGCCGTGTTCGCCACAAATGGGAGGGCCCTGCTTTTCATTGTTGCTGCAAAATGCTGGAGCGCTAGCTCGTGGACATAAATGCAAAAGTTATTATTTGCATGCATGGGGCCCCTGCCCTTCATTCTGGTGTGCTGCTACCACAGCCCCAATATGGCCCTAGCTGGTTCACATAAGGGGATGATGCATGCCCCTCGGAGGTTCATTTCTTGGTCTGGATCTATATACTGGTATATGTCGACCCCGACGTGTTTCATTCACGATTTGCTACAGCTGCGCAAGTGACATCTTTGCAGGAGCACCGGACACAGGTCTGGGGCTCTCTGTAGGCTCCAGGAACTGATCTGCACCAACTGATTCGTTCATCGGCACTGGTTCATGGAGCAAACTGCACTTTACCCCCATCAATTCTGCCTTTGATTTAGTGTTCAGTCCCCAACTTCAAAATCGTCTCAAATGTCCTCCTCTAAACAGTACTAGATTTTATCTCTTTTTTTTTTTTTGTAAATGTTTGCCCCTCAAGTTTGTTCCATTTTGCGGAGACACTTTGGGCATACTTGGGTAGCTACCAAAATCCGGCAATTCTAATGTTTGGCATTTGTCAAATATTGGCTACTAATTGGCTGGTTACTCTCTCCATTTCACAATGTAGTGCTTTCTCTATCCACGTGCTTCAACTTTGACCGTAAATTTAACTACCAAGACCGATTGCGGCGGGAGCAAAAATTATATCAGTGAATTCGTATTCGAAAGAAGTTTTCAATTATATAATTTTTTCTCCCGCCGCAGTTGGTCTCGTTGGTTAAATTTATGGTCAAAGTTAGACCTCGGGAAACGCGGGCGCACTATATTTTGGAATGGAGGGAGTATCAAATGGTCTAGCCAACCTCACATCAAGATCAAGTTATCAATGTTCGGCTTTGTCAAATTTTTGCTTGGATAGAAAGAAGAGTACACCATCAAACATAGCACAACACTGACGACCAACGACCTTGACAAAACACTAGCGATCCAATCATGAACAAGTAAGAATCACAAACATGCAGGAAAGCATACACCATACACCAAAGGAACTAGTCAAAAATTGGTAGCAAAGCAAGCATGCCCTTATCCTGAAGTTGTCATGGCCTATAAACACGGTAATATATCTAATTCTACCATGCTCCTAGGAATTTTTTTGCGAGGTACCATGCTCCTAGGTTTTCTTTTTGCGAGGTACCATGCTCCAAGGTTGCTCATAAGTCATGACAATTTAACAAATATAACTACTGTTGTAAGCGAGAAATTTATCTCTTTGAGTAGAGCTTCTTTTTCTCACCGATACACGAGTCTAAGCACCAGAAAATAGAGAAATTGTATGCGTAAAGGAGAAGATCAAAGTGTGGCCATCCCTTCTTTGGTGGTGCTTCTTGGGTGCCCGGTGTTGAGCTTAGGGGTGAAAACCCTAGGCCTGGTCCGAGTGGGTTATACCTGGCAATGGTGATGTTTTTGAAAGAAACACTAGCAATCCAATCATGAACAAGTAAGAATCACAAACATGCATGAAAGCATACACCATACACCAAAGGAACAAATTGAAAATTGCTAGCAAACCAAGCGTGCCCTTATCGTGATGTTGTCATGACCTATAAACACCGTCAATATCTAATTCTACCATGCTCCTGGTTTTTTTTGTGAGGTACCATGCTCCTAGGTTTTCTTTTTGCGAGGTACCATGCTCCCAGGTTGCTGATAAGTCAGGACAATTTAACAAATATAGAAAGTGAGATATTTATCTCTTTGAGTAGAGGCTTTTTTTCTCCCCGATACACGAGTCTAAGCACCAGAAAATGGAGAAATTGTGTGTATAAAAGAGAAGGTCAAAGTGGACCACCCCTACTTTGGTGGTGCTTCTTGAGTACCCGGTGTTGAGTTTCGGGGTGAAAACCCTAGGCCTGGCCCGAGTAGGTTATACCTGACAATGGTGATGTTTTTGCATCGTTGCCTTGTTGAAGTCATTGCTCGGATATGCTCGTACTTGTTCTTCAAGGTGAAAACCTAGAATCTAGCCCCTGGTGGCCGGATCCCGTGAAGATGACTCTCGAGCATTGTGTTCCCTTACTGAAGGCATTGTTGTTGAAGAACATCATTGCCCTTGTGGAGTCAAGATATGGTTGGTGTGGATAGGATCATTTTTGTCGTCTGTAGACCACTGTTTCGATCGTTGTGGGGATTTATCTTTTTCCTTGCTTAGGCATAGATTTTGTCTTATATGACTTTACTCTTTTTTCTCAGCAAGATTTTTATGTGTGTGCGCGCATTAGTGTTGGTTGTATGGATCCTAACTATGCATAGGTCGAGTGTGTGCTCATTGTGTTTGTATCCACTTGATGCTTCATTTTGAGTCACGCTTTGTCAAAAAAAGACAACTTAGAGGCATGCATGGCCAAAATAACTTGAGTTAAAGGCATGAAAGATAGATAATAGAATAACTATGCAAGAATGTAAGTAAACTTATCTAACATACAAACAAATACAATTCATAATAACGAGACTGAGTACAAAGCTTAGTATTGAGCTAAGCAGCATAAAAAGAAAGTACTCAACAAATTCTTCACAACAAATCACAGAGAAAAGAGGAAGGGGAAGTTCTTTGAAACACAGATATCAATGTAAAATCCGACTGACCCCTCTATAGGATGTCACGATCAACTGGAAATCCCAAAGGGGAAACAAGAGATAGATTTTACCCAGGTTCTCTCTCTGGAGGTAAACCCTACACCTACTCGTGTTGTGTTGGATTGATGGGGTGTACAAGGTACATGGATGATCCCTAGGATCATATGTGTATCGAGGGATTGAATGTAAGGTATCTATCGACTAGCCCGACCTTGGTTTATGAATGGTACCAATGCCTAGGGTTACAGGGGACCTAGTTGACTAAGGCGGTTCGAAATCCCTCTTGGATCTCCGGTCTTCTTTCCTTGGTCATCAAGATGTTGAATCCTTCCTTCTAGAGAGCCCATAAGTCGGGTTGGCGGCCAGATCGTGCAATGGCCTTGGGGGCCTTGGGCCGGCTTGGTAGGCCAACTTTCAGTGGCATGAGGCACCCTTGGGGCGTAACACCACCAACAAATGAATTATAATAAGTAAAGCGGTGTGAAGAAATAGTGCAATGTGTTTACTCTAGTTCAAACTATTGGCGTAGTTCTACGTCTAGGTTGGAGAGGCTGAGCCACAACTCTGAATACACACAGGTCTTTTGCCTTGTTCTCCTTGATCTAAGTTCATCGAAACTCGCCCAATCACTCGGGGTGTGGTGATCTGCAGACTGACATAACCTATTCTTTGTCGAATCCACAGTTGGATGCTCTTGAATGGCTCCTAACTATCTAGAGGATGCATAGTCCTCAAAAGTAACAAGTCAGGTTACTCTTCGTTCAAGTTCTTCAGTGGTGCTCAATCACTTAACACTTTTAGGCTTTGGTTCCTCACTAGGATTTCTCTCAAATCTTGTGTGTGTGGGTG